TAATGAATAACTATAACAGAGAAAAAAAAGCAAGAGAATTTCAAACTAGAATGAGACACTTCTTAACAACAACAATTGGCCCTCAACAACAAAATGTTATGGTTATACTGAGACTTCAAATCCAGATTGGAGACATCCTAAAATGTTTTACTCACACCTGATTCTAAATCCCTTATTTTACGGTGGGTCAAACTTGGTCACAAAGGTCTCTTTTGGTTTTAAAAAATCTCTGAATCTATTGTAAGAATTCTTCTGCAAGTATATTTAAACATTGTATATTCTCATCATTACCTCTGATTTGACACCTAGAATTACTCTAGGGCTTACTGTAAACTTTCTGAATCTCACAACAATGCATGTGGACTTCAGAACTTTTTTTTTTTTTTTTTTGGTTTCATTGCTGTTCATGATGTACATGAGATTGTAGGATTGTGCCAGATATCTCTTTTTTCCATCAATAAATCTTTTTTAATGCAAGCTGAGTGTACTAACATTAATAAAATAATGTTCTCAAAAAGAGAAAACACAGAACACCCTGGCTGTTGGACATGTAACCTATGACATGCACTGGTTGCTATTAACAGCTAGAAACAGCCTTAAGCTTCTGGCAGTTGTATTGTTTCATTGTCAACAGAATTTGCAAGAACTTGAAAATCAGAGCAATGAGTAATGAACTTGATTGAGGAGCACTCCCAGTTCCATTTATCCAGACCCCAGTGAAGTCTAAAGTTCAAGAACTGACTCTGAAGTGCATTCGCTGTTTCTTACTACTCTGGTCCTTGAAACTATTGATTTTTCTTGAGGCTCAAAGTGTATCTACCAGTCCAAAATCTTTCTTTTTAGAATCCTGATTAAGTATTCCCCAAATCTCACCTTTTCCAAAAGCGGTGCAAACAGTAGATGGAAGGTCTGCTGGTTCACTGGCAAACACTTGTCCCATATCCTGCTCCCCCCTCCCCCCCCCCCCACGACCCTATTTTCCCCCATTAAATATTTTAACTAAAGTATTTCTTTAACATAAATCTTTTAACGAAATTGAAGTGGTGTTACGGGGATCTCCCTGAATTTTTACTAATTTCAGCCTGGTAAAATAAGTAAATTAATACAGATACATACATACACTCCTTATCCTCCCCATCCCCTAAACAGATATGTTACATCTCACTGCACAACTAAATGTCACATGTAAATAATTTCGTATTGGAATTTTAAAAAGTTTGAATTACAAATCAATTGGTTACCCTTTTATGCACTAACTTTTGTGTTCACAAATCAACAATGTATGCTTGGTCTTAAAACGGTAATGGATGCATTTTAGATAAATGCCATTTAAATACCATGAAGATGTTTCTTTCAATGTTAGGCTTTATAAAAACTGTTTCATCCTTAGATTCAAGTACTAGTGACTGAGTTAAAAATTCATTTGACCACATATTTAACGTAGGTTAGAGCATTTTTCCTCAGGGTTAAGTGCAGTTACATTTATTAGAATAGTTCAGGGCAGAGTATTTCCATTAAAAATTGAATTCCATATACTGAAATACACAGTCTATTTACTTTAATATCTAGCATGAATAACTACTGATCACACTATAAGAAAACAGAAGAATATCCTCTAGAAAATATTCCCTTAGAACATGCCCTTAGAAAATGACATAGCATAATTGGAAAAGATATAGTACCAAAATATGTAATGAAGTTCTACTAAGTATGTTGATTTGTTCATACAAGGAGACAGTGCGTAAAACCAGGTTTGAGTCTGTCTGGCAAAAGTGTGTGGTTATGTGGGACGTATGTCTCAAACGCAGTTTTTCAGACTACTTGTCCCCAATTTCCTTTTTTATGTTTGGTCTCCTCTATAACGTGGTTCTTGGTGGAAGTCTTCTGCTTCCGTTTTAAAAGACTGACTAATCAGTTGTGACTTGTGTTACTCATTTCACTCACTATCTGTAATTTCACAGTTTGATAAAGAAAAAGCTGCGTAGGCAAAAGACTTTCAGGACGAATCTAATATCCTATTCTAATGAGGGGGCACTGTAAGAGTATGGAAGAAGCATAGCCTCCCTAAATTCCCCTTTTAGTTGGGGGATGTAGGGAAACAGTTGGGAGTGCAAATAAGAAAGACAGCTGTAGATGTAGTCAGTTAGGTATCTAAAACTGTAGAAAAAGAAAGAAGGAAGAAAAAGATGTTTTCCGTTTTCGGTTAACTAAGTGAGCAATAAAGCAAAAAATAGAAGATACATTCTGAAAGACCTCAAGTGCCAGCTAAACTAACCCACTGTTAACTGCGATGTGGGTTCAGTCTGTCTAAACCTGCCAGAAATCTATGTGCTTTGGCTATTCATACTCTGAGCAAACCACTTTGAGAAAATCTAGTCAACCCCAGGCCATGTACCTTTGACAGCTTCATAAAACTCATCAATTCACTTCCGATGCACCTTACACCTTCGGTTGGGCTAATAACCTTCTGAGTTCAGCCTTGATCAGGCTGGACACATCTAAACCGGACAAAACTCCCCTGAAAAAAGCAGCTTTTAGCTCAGGGTTATGTGAAATGCAGATGTCCTAACATTCTGACAATAAAACTCAAAGTTAGTCTTTGCCCACATGAAACCATGCCAAGGTTCATTTCACATTTTTTCCTTAGTAAGTTTACTCTTGGATCTTGATTTTTCTACCACCAATGGCACGTTCGCTAAATACCATACAAATCCTCACCTTTAACTCTGGTTCTTGCCACTTAGCCCATCAATGGTCAAAATGGGTGTAAATACCTTCAACTTTTTCCTTCTTTTATATGAAAGATTACAGGTTCTGCCTTCCCTGCAATGATGTGCAAGACCCAGGCCCGAGACTTCTATGCCCCAGACTGAAGGTGGTCTCCCTGTGGGTTGCCAAAGAGACGTTTGGTGCTTGCAAAAGGGAGAGCACAGCACTGGAACCTTTCAGTGTCTAAAGCAGACAGAAACAGGACAAGACCCCTCACATCACTGACCAAAGATGGCACATCAAGACTCTCTAAGTTAGGAAAAAATAGAATGGCTTTTTATGGTACCGATAAAGTTTAAACTCGTATTTTTTAAAGACCTTTAAAAAAATATTTCCCCTTTAATTGAATAAAGGGGCAGCCCATGTTCACACCCTGCCAAATGTTGACATTTTTTTTTTTTTCTCTGTAGTATTACTTATGAGAGAGAAATACTTTTGTGAATGCTCAGAAAAGGACTGCTAGAAAGCTGTCACAATCTCTTTGTTTTCTATATGGCTTCTAGAAAGCTTATTGTACAATCTCATTAGAGAGAACACAAATAGGATGGAGCAAGAAATAATTACTCCTTCCCTCATTTTACAGATAGCAGAAAAGAAGATTCAATTCAGTTGCCCACACGTAGTGGTGGAATACTATTTGATATTCACTCAAATATCACCTGATCTTCTTTCTCCTCCCCATAGGCCCTGTGTCATACTTGCCAGCACTGTCTAGACTTTCCAGATGCCCTATGCCTACCCCAGATGGGAGTAGACACCTATGTCGGATGACTGGTCTGAACTCAGAAAGGTTCAGTTTTGTTCTCACTCACACAGGAAACCCATGGCAGACCCAGAAATTAGACCCAGTTGACTTCAGTATCATCCAGTAACCACAAGACCCCTAGTTCTGCTGGCACTGAAACTTAAAGAGATCACCACCTTCTGGTGGTGAGAAACGGCCTTCTTTTTATACATCCTTCAATGCCAAAAAAACCCACGTGCTCTATCTTCCAATCACTCTGACATGACTTCTCAGCTATTTTTGTCCCTAACATTTGATCTACTTCCTTCTCTTGTTCTCTGTCTCATTCTGATCTCACTGCTGTAGCAGTAAATAGTGCTGATACATGACCAACAGCCAGATTAAGATCCATTGAAGCACTAAGCTGCTTATCTACACGTCTAACGCTCTGGGTATTCGCAGGGTGCTCTTCAGAAGTGAAATCATGTCTTGCAGATTAGAGTTGATCTTCATGTTTATGAAACTTCAATAGTTGTGAGCCAAAAAAAAAACAAAAAAAAACCCAATGAACAAAACAGCAACACCAGATGAAGTTTTTGAATTCAACATACACAAGTTCCAATTCCTCTAATTGTTCTCAAGTGGCAAGCTGATCTGCCTTCCTCTTTCATGTCTCCACAATGCTACATTTTCAACCAATTAACTAATTTCAAATATCTTTAATCTACTTTGATTATCAGACAGGTGAATGGCTGCATCTAGTGAACTGATAAGTGAACTCAACAGGTTTTAGAATATTAGTGCATCTTCTGAAAGTCAAAGAGGACGCAAAAGGAACAGCAAGCAACCCCTTGTGACAAAGAAAAAAAAGCAGAAGCACAAAAGGAGGAACAAAAATCATATTAGAGACACATTAACAGAGTACAGAGGCTGTTCCATGCTAAAAAGTGCTGATTAGGATCAACACCTGACCCTACAAAGCAACGTCATTCAACACTTCCACTCAAAACTACAGCTATGCAAAGTCAAATATCATACGGTGATACTTGGTAAAGGCTAGCAAGCATTTATCTCTAGGTTTCTATCAGTAGGCTCTCCATTTTCTTCTCATTCTGTTAATGTTGAATGTTAAAATCATTTCCAAAAAGTCAACAGTTTAGAACCGTGCAAAGCATTTGATAGCCACAAAGAACAGGATGGGAGCCTCATGTATGTCAATGGGATTCCAGCCCATCTGAAAGTATGGCTCCATGTATAACCTGTGACCCAATGCACAAGAATCTCTACTTTTAGAGACCCGTTTCTTTACCAAACTTCAAAAACATTAGTGCTTAGGGACAAACTTCACCAAAAAGCAAACGCAATCAAGTTTTGCAGGTCCAAGGATCCCCCAAAAGAGATTCATCTAGCAGTTTCTTTTGTTTCTGAACCTGTAGCAGTCATGCTAAGAGCATACCAAGTTGGCACATCAGCACTTCTTACAGGAATTCACAAACTACATTTTTACCTTTTTATTTTTTTTAAACATGTATATATGACCATGGCAGCTTGCTTGCTAGTACGTGGATTATCAGATAGAGGGAGCAGCAGGGACACATGGGAAGCTGGAACACCTGCAGCTAACAAGAGGTGCATGTAAATAGGTGAACCACACCCCGAGGAGGAGGAATGTGTGCTTGTAATATGCACGCCCATATTGTTAAGGGAATAAAATAAAGAAAAGAGAGGCTTTTCCCTTAATAACTGATAGGAAACAGCTAGGAAATTGAAAGCATCAAGCAGAGCAGGGGCATGAGGATGAACCTTGCAAGACATCTGTGGTGAGCCTGAAGTGAGAGACCCTTGACTGAGATGGATATTAGACTATGAAGCAGTACATTTGTCTCAACCTAAAAACTAGGTTGAGAGGGATTTCTCATTTATATAGATGCATTTCTATGAAACAGTGTTGTTGGTTTCTTTCATTAGAATTTTCTAATGAACAAATACACAGAAAAAAATCCAAACCTGTCTAACAGTGATGAACGAGCTTCCTAATGCTATTCAAGCAGTGCCACAGATTTCTGGGTCCATAGCAAGATAACTTCCTTCTACCTGCTTATGAAATAAGCAATGCTTCCCAATGTTGTGGTTGGCTCTTAGTAGTTACTAATTCCTATTTATAGAGCATCCAACAGTTCTGTGAGCGTGCATAAAAGTTCCTCACCTGCCCCTGCAAATTGTTTTGTAATGAGCTGCCAATTGAGCAGAGATCCCAACAAAGGAGGCTGGGTTCATTTACGTGGAAAGGAGGAGAGTGTGAGTTAGCAAGACACTCCTACATACATACTCTGTATCATACTCTGTATAAAACAGAAAGCAGACTTCCAAGTTTATTTCAAAGAATCACGGCTTTGGGTTTGTCTTAAAATTCAAGTATGCCACCCCTACCCCATCTTATTGGCTGTTGTAACACTGAAAAGGAATCAGTTACCTTTTGAAAAAAGCTGATAAACATTACATAGACAGCGGAAAACCACATTCTGAAGTGGTTTCCTTTTGCCAGCCCCTAGGGACAGCAGCTGCAGATGCTATAGTGGCCACGACTGCTTCAAGTGTTTCTGAGGGTTGAGCACCATGTCTCAGATGCCATGAAAAAGGAGAGAGATGGATGCCTTACAGTTTTGGTGTGAACTCTAGAACAAATAGGTTTGTGCAGGTTGGGTTTTCTGTGTCATTCCTACAGCCAGCGTTTGATAATAAGCAGAGCTCACCAGCACCTTCCAATACTGAGACGTTTAAAACAATGAGTCATTTGTTTCTAAAGCCTCGCTGCACATATCCTTACAGCTCTTGGCAAGTTTTAACAAAATAAAGTTCAGTACCGTCCTAAATGTACTTTCAATGGAATGTGAACATGAGGAAATTTCAAGCTAAACTCCATTATCAAGTTTAGAGAGAAAATGAGTTTAACACCTCCTTTTTCCTCTCACTATTGACCTCAGGCAGTCCAAGCTTTGCACCCTCATTCCACAGCACAGCTGCAGGTCATATGGAAGAGTGTTCTCTCACTGTTCTACCTTTGTCCTTTCTTACCAGCTCCTCTGCTAGTTTCGGTCAGCTGTTACCATTACCTCACACCCATAAGCCTCCTGCACACTGTCAGCTCCTTGAGGTTCCTGTGCAGGAATAACACGAGGGAAAGGCTAAGCTGAGTGGTCTCTTTAGCACTACTGACAGATGCTTCACAGAAAGAAGAGGATGAGAAGCAAGAGTTGATGATCGTATAGGGGAAAAAAAAAAAACAAACACAGATAAACGGCAGAACCAGGATGATTTTATATATCTATGTATCTCTATATATAGAGATAGATAATTTAAATACTGTTATTATTTGTTTCATAATCTTTGCATTAGCCCTCACTTAGTTTCTTGAAAATACAAGCATACGCAGTGCTGAATAAAGCCCTGTGGTTGTCTGTCTTCAGAAACAAAAATCCCTAATGAGATTCTTATAGATTGCTCATGCACTTCTTTATGAATACAAGATAAAACAAAAATTAAGCAAAAAGGAAACAGGTGCGAACATGCACCAGTGAAAGCGAGAAAGTAAAATTCACAGAAATGACATTTACAGAAATAGCAATATATACCGAAAACTTCTTTGCTCTTGAACTGAGCCTGTTAACACGTAAATCAGGTAAACAGCATCCTCCTTCAAGAATATAGTCATACACTTCATAAGCTATATGTTCTGCGTACTATAAGTGCCATGAGGTCTGTGATGGTCCCTTGGGTTCTGAGATCATATTTTTCCTATTGTTTTGCTCTGTGACTGGAAACCACATGGAGCCCTGGGCTCTGTTACACCTCAGCTCCCTAATATTTGGAGTGTTCCATAGCAACACACAGTGAGACTAAACCAGATGACAAGTGAAAGTGGTGCTGGTTATTCAGTGAACGCAAAAGGAATCAAAAAGGAAAAATTTGGCTGGTAAAACACAAGACTTGCTGCAATAGAAGACAAAAGCAATAAAAAAGACCCAGAACAATATGCAAACAGTATTCTGAACTTCAAATGACGCAAGCAAGCATTGTTAGGTCTATTTTGTTATGGCCTGTGCTCAGAGGTTGATTTGCATGAAAAAAGAGAATACAGTAAAGATGCATTAAATGCTTTTCAAGCTTCACTGTAGCTTTATGTTCAGTATATTCTGCTTATACCATCCCTAATGGTCAAAGTTAGAGATGCCATATCAAGCAAAATGTCCAATTCTTTTTTTTTTTTTTTTTTTTTTTTTTTTTCCCCACCCAGCAGTATTAACACATCTTCATTCTGTAATTGTCAAAGCAGTAATATTTGTATACGGGAGGGGGAATCTGCCATATTCATAGCAAAGTAGAATAATTGTAACAGGAAAAAAATTATCATGGGAAAGAATCCATGAAATAAATTCTGTACAAATAATAATCAGCTGATAAATTAAGTGGAGTGGCATGGTAATTTACTAGAGGGAAATAAACATAACATAGGAAAAATCGTGCCTTTTTTGTTCCAATGGCAGGAGGAATTTCATCAATAATCTTCCACTGTTTATCCATGTTTTTCTGGTGCATTTGAAGGCTGTTATTTCTTATTCAGTTCAGCAATTAACTTACTTGCTGAATTGTCATCCATACTTATTTGGGTCCTAGGTCCCAAGCTTTATAATAAAAAAAATAATCCAGGATGCCTTTGCTCCACACGCTTCTGCCTTTCAACAGAGCAGCAAAGTAATGAATTTACTACAGTTTTATGTTCCTCCTTCTGAAAACAATAATGAGAGGAAGGAAGTGATAGGTGAAAAGAAAGAAAAATCTTCAGCTCTTCAAAGGGAAGTATCTCAACGTTACGGTTTAGGTGGAGACTTTAAGGTCAATCAGTGTGGCTACACTGATTTTAGTTCAAAATGCATTATTATCTGATTTGATTTTTTCATTAAAAGGGGGGGAGAGGGGCTACCTTACAGTTTTCAGAAAAACAAATTCAGCAAGTGTTAGCATTTCAAGAGCATATTAACTGAGTTTATGATAAACCTAAAACATACTCAGACCCCAAGCAATTCTAAGATGACTGCTGAGCTTCTATACAGACTAGCATTTTATTAAATTGCTCTTCCACGCAGAGAAGGACCTGGGAGTGATGGTTGATAGTTGGCTGAATATGAGCCAGCAGTGTGCTCAGGTGGCCAAGAAGGCCAACAGCATCCTGGCTTGTATCAGAAACAGCGTGACCAGCAGGGCTAGGGAGGTGATCGACCCCCTGTACTCGGCTCTGGTGAGGCTGCACCTCGAGTACTGTGTTCAGTTTTGGGCCCCTCACTACAAGAAGGACATCGAGGTGCTTGAGCGAGTTCACAGAAGGGCGACGAAGCTGGTGAGGGGCCTGGAGAACAAGTCCTACGAGGAGCAGCTGAGGGAGCTGGGCTTGTTCAGCCTGGAGAAGAGGAGGCTCAGGGGCGACCTTATCGCTCTCTACAGGTACCTCAAAGGAGGCTGTAGTGATGTGGGGCTTGGTCTGTTCTCCCACGTACCTGGTGACAGGATGAGGGGGAATGGGCTTAAGTTGCACCAGGGGAGTTTTAGGTTGGTTGTAATGAAGAACTTCTTTACCGAAAGGGTTGTTAAACATTGGAACAGGCTGCCCAGGGAAGTGGTGGAGTCACCATCCCTCGAGGTCTTTAAAAGACGTTTAGATGTAGAGCTTAGGGATATGGTTTAATGGAGGACTGTTAGTGTTAGGTCAGAGGTTGGACTCGATGATCTTGAGGTCTCTTCCAATCTAGAAATTCTGTGATTCTGTGATTCTGTGATCGGTACTTCAGTTTTGACTGCTTTAGCCTTGTGAATTGCTCTGGTTTGGTTTTGTTGGTGGGGTTTTCTTTTCGTTAATGAGAGATTCTGACCCTTGGAGATCTGGAGAAAAAATGGGTCGAGGCAGGGTTGCATGGGGCAGCCTTTCTCTCTGGCAAGCCAAACGGCCTGGGGGGAGCCAGCCCCAGAAAAGGGGGCCCTCAGCCCCCCTAACCCTCGTCCTTCCTCCACATGAGGGCATCTTCCGGGCCTCTCCCAAGGCAGCCACCTTCGGCCTCGCACGGGCCGCTCCATCACAGAGCTTTGCCGAGGTCACAGTGGCCACCAGCGGGCCCGCCCTTGCCCCGGGCCCTATAAAAGGGGCCCCCCTGCCCCTGGCCCGCCACTTGCTCAGCGATTTGGTCTTCCGAAAGCCAGCGGCTGAAGGAAGGCCAGAGTTACGAGCAAAGGGAGAGCGAGGCGAGCAGCAGCCCTTCTCAGTGCGAGGACAAGAAATTGTTCCTGGGACCACTGAGAAGGATGTCTGGCTCTGCGTGGATGCGCCGTGGGTCGAGGGCCAGCACCTCCAGCACAAGAACCATCAGTGCCCAGGAGGTGTCTGGTGCCCGGCCCAGAGGCTATTATGATCAATCATCATTGGAGCCAAAGCGATGCGGGGAGCAGGCCGGCCCCTCGGATGGACAGCAGCAACAGGCCTGGGCCTAGCCGGAGGTCCAGCGATGACGGAGAGCGTGGGTTGGAGGGCCACGGGAAGCAGAGCCGTGCCCAGCGGTCAGAACATGATGCG